GGAACACACATGTTGCCTCATGTTGCTTGGTGGTTTCAACTAAAAAAACGTTTATAAGAGAATGATCGAAGTCCACCCAAACATCCTGTTGCAGAAAACAAAAACTGCCAGGTCGGAACTCAAGATGTCTACTTTCGTCCGAGCCCAGGGGCTATTCAGGGCTGAGACTATCCAGCCAAAGGCATCCAATCTTCGTTTCGGATCTTTTTCCGGAACGCGCTGCTCCTCCTCCTCCTCTTCTTCGCTCCCTGGGGATCCACATCTCTTCTCAGAGGGCTTCAGCTGAGGCTCCCCACGTTGCAATCTCTGCTCTTCACGTTCCAGAGCTGCTTGTTGTCGTGCCTCATCGGACGCAGACCCCACAGAGAAAACCGTGCCGAAGTCCGTTCGAGTCAAGAGGTCAAAGCAAAAAGCAGCTGTTGCAAAGAGACAGCGACCGAGACTCTAGAAATGGGATATGGACATGACCTGATGTCCTCATAAAACAACAGGTAGTTGCTTGTAACTATACTAATTTAGGCTAAGTTGCCATGAGACTTAATCTTGCAAGCACACACAAAAGCTTGACATGTTGACTTCTAAACTACCCCCCCGCAGCAACTAGTCAGAATTCACCAAATCCACCTCTCTGTGGCTGCTCGCTGGTCACAACACCTCACTTCACCACACAATCCACAACTGGAGGGTGCTTTAGCAAACTCACTGCCATACTCCACCGTGTGGAACACTCGACACATCAAAATGACAGTCGACAGCGCTCGGCAGTAAATCCATCATCCCATTTTAGTAGCGCTCTCATAGTGTGCATATATATTTTTGGGAGATGATGGCCAGCATGGAGCCTATTACGCTTGTTTTGACTGAGTCTTGTGACATTCAAGCGACAATTCCAGATCTTGCCATTCCACCAACCCTGTGCATTGCAAAATGGGCTCTGGCAATCTATTTGATGGACCAACTGTTACTGTAGAACCTCCACTGGTTCCATCGATCTGCATGACCCGAACCCGAACCGTCGTCCCGGTGTTCTTTCTGGTCCATCTACGGTTCGATCACATCACGCATTGAAGCAAGCCATGTTGGAAGATGTTGACCGATCCTGGGGTCTAAGAAGACCCGGATGTCCATACCCCGAAACCACCGACCCGTCGTACCGAACCGACCCGGTTCGGTATGACTCCGAGCCGGTTCGGTATGACTGGACCGGCTGCCAAACCTCATCTAAGAGTCTACATGAAATGCAACTCGATTCCTTTGTTTTCCGATTTTATCCATGCAGGTCCCATGCAACCGTCGCATGGAGGAACCTTCCGCGGGCCGACCCGTCCTGGTTCCGTCCGCCCTCCGGTGCGCAGGACCTCCTCCCGTCGTTGCTTCTCCTCTTCGGCCCGCAGCTCCGCCTCGGCCGGCTCGGCCCGTGGTCGAGAACATCAAACCCATATAGATAGGACTGCCGAGAAACGGCCAGGGGTGGTTTCGGTGGTTTGGGGGGTCAATTGATCGGCATATACGGCATACATGGAGTGTATGGGAAATATACAAAAAGGATCAAAGAAGGGTACTGTCCCTATCATCTCGCAGTGGTTGATCCAAAAACCGAGATTCGGTAAGAGGTTCTGAATGGGAAAAGTAGAACATCAGCAAAAACAAGCCAAAGCTAAGTGTCAAAGATCTTGTGGGCCGGCTTGGTCAATTGGTGGGGCAAAGCCAAATCTGAGGCACCCGCTGAAACACCTTGGTTGGAAAGGCACAAGTACCCAAATGAAGGTTTGTACATTCCTCCAAGAATATGTCAAACACAAACTCTGTCAGTATTGTATTTAGAGGTTGTAGTTCTCTTTGACGGTACACACATCGATTTGTTAAGGACCAACGCCTTATTCAGCCCAGGGGAGACCCACTCAGTCTACCCATCCACAGGGCGAGAAAGGGAGTCTCAGTCATTCGACACCTCCACAGCACTTCGAGCGGTCACCACTTTGGCCCCGCGCCCCCCCCAACCTTCCAGCTGGCCCTGCCTCTGTCTGCTCGCTCGGCATGATCTGACCAGGTCGCACCACCGGGTGGCACGCGCGGGGGACGCGGTGGGTGGGCTGTGCACAGAAGCTGAAGGGAACGGACCAGAGGAATCGAGTCCCTTTTGCATATTGCTTTAAAATCCTAGTTCTGGATCACAGGACCATCCGGAACACCATGAGCCTTGGCGGCCTTAGCAGGGTGTTACCAGTTTAGGGATTAGCGATGGCCTCCAACCTACTAGCGATGGCCTCCAACCTACTAGCGATGGCCTCCAACCTAAGAGCATATCAGAATTAAGTCTTTTTCTTACAAGGCCAGGAACCCTGGCAGCGTTCTTTGCTTCCTCTTCAGAGGGGCAACAAGCCTGTCTCGACCAAAGAGTTGGTCAAACACTTTGTCTCACGAGAGAAAAAACGCTTGGCCGCTGTTTTCGGACAGAAAACGGTTTGATGTTTCGTGTTTTTGGCTTCCCAGCTCAAAACTACTGTTTGGCAGTGCTTGATGAAATCAAAGACGGCGGCTCAGAAGAAGATGTTTGACATCTACTATTCTTGCGAAAAGCTCCTAGGTGGGAGCAACATAAAGCTCAGAGCAACATTTGTTGCTCTGCACCCGCGTTTCTTCAGCGGGGTCAAAGGATACACGGCGACAGCGGACACACCCTTTCAGGTGTGGCATCGCCTTTCGGGAGCAAAGCAGGCTTAGCTTCGGCCTCAATAGGTCATGTACCAAACTCCAGTGCTGGGCAGAGGTGGTGGATATGGTGGTGGCGGTGGATAGCGGAGCACAGGCTGATAGGATGGACACACCTGGTAGGATGGACAGGGCGTGGGTGAAAAGGGTGAGCTGGGTGAGCCGGGTGGGGCTGCGTTGGTCACTTGGTAGGAGGGACATGGCGTGGGTGGGTAGATGTAGTGCACGTTGCACGTGCAGCCACCCTGGGTGTGCTGCGTGGGTGTGGGTGGTGCCTCAGCTGGCGGTGGCAAGGGAGGAGCGTCATCCACCTTGGCAGGAGCCACCTTGGATGTTGGCCGCACTTCTTCCTGCGGGGTAGCGGAGTCCACTGACACAACACCAACAAGCAACAACTAGGAACACCTCGGGCATCGCTACGAACCGAGCGATCGAAGGCTACGAACGGGGCTCCTGGCCTTACTTCTAGCGATCGGACGCTACTTTCGTCCAACCAGAGATTCTCATCGATGGGCTTCGGACCGCTGACCGCACCTGTCCACCCCGGATGCCCACGGTGGCGAAGCGGGTGTCCTTCATGGCATTTCTCACGTCCATGTACTTGAGCTCCTGCAGTTGGATCGGACACATGGGGGACATGACATTCGGGTATAGACCCTCCCTTGGAGCGAAGTCAGTGGAAAGTACACAGCTTCATACAGCTTCATTGCTGGACACCTCTGAAGGCTTTCAATGTTTTTAAAGAAACAAACACACATGAACCGGATTCATCTTCCGAAGCACCATCCCTTCGGGGTCTCCGGAAGGTCCAGGATGCAGTTGCGACCAAGCCTTACCCCTCAGCACCCGGGGCGGCCATCAGCGATGTAGACTCTGGATGAATCAACCAACCCGATTTGGATTGAAAAACCTGTTCAAAAACCCTGTACCAGCTGCTTCCAACGGGTCACCACTGGACAACCCTACACTTATAGGTCTCCAAACAGGACACCCAGACAGGAAGTATGTGACCTTTCTTTTAATCAGTCTGAACAGTCTGAACACTTCAGTGTTTGGCTGCAACGTCCGCTTCGTCTTCCCCCTCTCCTGCTTGACACAAAAGCTCAACTTCTTCCAAGCGAGCTCTCTCTCCGTGGACATCTTGCTTCGCACTGCGTGGGGCACCCGGTCGCGAGCTGTCGTCCGCGTGTCGGCGTGTGACGGTCAGGTGCTTTCTCCGCGGGAGCGAGATCGGAGGTGAAACCCCCCCAGGGCGAGGTGATTTCTAGGATTCCAGCCACCATGGGAGTTTATTTAGCTTTACGGAAGAACCATTCTTTGACTATCCTCTGTGAAATTGCCAAAGTGGGGTCGTTCACTAATTTTATGCAGATTTTAATATATAGAATCCAAATTTGACTGTACAGAATCACAGGTACAGGCCCCATTTTTTCTTCGAGAGTGATGTTATAGTACGGGATCACGACCCTACGACCGGTGCCAGTCCACCCCCCCCCTTTCCAGAGCGACAATTGACCCGACCGTGTGCTCAGCTTGAAGCGGTACAGAAGAGGAAGGTTGGTTTGTAATCAAATCAGTGTGTGCTTCCTAGCTGGTCTATATAAGCAGAAAATTGTATAGAATGGAAACTGTTGTTTGTATAGACTCCTTGTGTTGATCTTGCCTGGAATAAATCTCTTTACACAATGAGAGGGTCACCCAACATATATCTTTACAATATCAGAGGTCATCCAAAATCACAAAAGTACGACTTGTACAGAATTGCTCTTAGGGGGTATCTGAATCATGTAGTAGGGTCAGCTCCTGATTTAATCGGATGTATATACAATCCTGCTTTTATACAGAGCCCGTGCTCGTGCTCGTTGATTCTGTTCAGGACATTTCAACAAGGATATTTGACTAATATCGATTTAAGACTACAAAATCAGGTCAACCATTATTCCTATATTATTCTAATGGTTTTTGAAGGCTAGGGCGGCTAGGGGGTGATCGAATCTGGTAATGAGATGGACGGGACCAAGTGACACCGTCCATTTCCACGAGTGCCGGCGGCAGACTTGTGGGCGCGCAAACATGTGGTGGTTTGGGGGGTGGTCGAGTATGGCAGAAAGGCAGAAAGGTGCCCAAGAACAAACAAACACACACCGGGGAGAAACACCAGTAAACGAGCTTCTTCTTTTGGGCAAAACGAGTATGGTCACCGATACCCAAAACAGGTCTCACCATCCCCAGCTGCCATGTCTCTAAAGAAAAAACCGGCTGTGACAAGTACGGGTCCAAAAGCGCACCGCTCGTCGCGCCCGCGTCGCTGCCCGGGCGAACCTTCAGCTCTCTCAAACTTCTCCGTGTTCACGGAGCCATCCTGTCGCGAGTTCAGTTCATCCGAGCTCAGTTCAGTTGGGTCCTTAGAGTCGTGGAGAGTCTGAGTGAGTTCGAGTTCCAAATCAAACCGAAGCGGAGCGTCGCCCTGAGAGTTCGAGTTCCGTTTGGTTCGTTGGACGATCTGCTTCATTTCGTCGTGTGTTGGGGAGGACTCTTTCGGTCTGGGCATCTACACCGTGGAATTCCATAAAGGTACCGGCCATTCAGCCGCAGCACCACAGGGGGGTTTGCCCCCATGTGGACTGGTGGGACTGGAGGGTGCTTGAGAGTCGGGGAGGTATCCACAGCGCACACAGGTGGGGCACACTCCCTGAAAGAATCAATTAAAGCGGAATATTTACAGTCTGTTCATAGAGGAATTCAGTCTTCCAAGGCTTCCCAGGGGCCATGTTCCACTTCCATGTAGTTGGATGGAGCGTAGTGAATTTGAGTCCAGTCGAAGTTCGGGGACTTCAGCCTTTAGATCCTGGCGGAACTGCCAAATCCCGGCATCGATCGTGATACTCCTCCACACTTGGCACAAGATGCACAAAGAGAAATCAACGAATTAAGTTCCCCAGAATCTCCACTTGGCCGACTGAGGGTCTTTGCTTCCTCCTTCTTGACAGGTCTTTTTTGTGTCTCCCTCTTTCAAGACCCAAAACCCACCCCAGTCCCACCGAAACGAAACGAAGGTACGACTGGAGGCCCAACGGGATCTCAGTGTCTGCATTCCCAGTGCTTCCTCTCAGTGACCTCCACCCGCTGGCCGCTCCCGACCACTGTCGCCCGCCGGTCCGGAACGCCATCGACCGCATCGATGTTGTCGAAAATGGCCTCCCACCAGGGGGGGTTCTGGGCCACATGCAACAGCCAAGCCACACCAAGTCACACCAGTGGGCCAAACCTAGGACCCCCAGCAAACGGCCCCCTGTCTGAGGTTGTGAGAAGATGTCAAGAAACAGGAGGGGCTTGGTTTTTGAGCTTGAAAGGCCGGTGCTAAGAAGGTGGTTGTTGAAATCAGCTGATCTAGAACGAATTCGATGAAGCCAATGGGTGTCATCAACCCTAGGCCTCCAGTCGTACCTTCGTTTCGGTGGGACGACCGGGGCCCGGGTGCCATTCTACGTCAGGCCCAGTCATACCGAAGCTCTTCGGTTCACCTCCGGGTCGATGGTTTCGGGCTGATTAGCTACTCCCATGTGGACATTCCCAGTGGACGCTACTCCAGCTCGAAGCACGGCCGTCCGTTTGAGACCTTCCGGACTGGGGGGAGTGGAGGACCCTTCCTTTGCCTCAGGGACCCGAAACCTAAAAAAAGAAGGGGTGTGGAACGAGAGGAAGGGAACTCTAAGGGACAGAAGCATGAGAGTTGGAACCCAAGGGTTGTTTGGTTTTTGGCATGTAAAGGCTATCAAATCAATGGCAGGCAGTTCGAATGCTAGGGGAATCGAAGCACCGAACAAATGACCCATCATCCATGTAGGTATATAATATATATGATGTATATATATATAGGTATATACTCCAGTCCCATGGATGGTCTGGGTCTTGCTCCATCTGACATCCTCTCCCAACTCGTAGATGGACCAGAAATTCTAAGATGTCCATCCTACAACCTCCTCTATTCCCATTTCTAGTCCCCACGAATTCAATTCACCACCCAAATACGTCTGAACAGCACCCCCGACGGTGAGGAAGTGGTCGACTTCGGACTCAACCAGAATTCGATCAAACCGCACCTCGATGAACTGCACATCCTCCTTGTCCAGCTTGCCAATCTTCTTCAGCATCCCTAGGACAAACCTGGAGGTCACATCGAAAAACAATGCTAACTGGATGAATCAAGCTCTTCAAAAGTGTCAGTCATTGGAGTGAAACATCTGAGTACAGGTGAAACATTCAGATGTCCGAAACCCTGCCAACCAGTTTTCCTGCCAACACGATGTTGTTCTCGCGCGCTTGTCAATGTCCAAGCAACTCCTCCTTGCGCAGCTTTTGATCGCCATCCTTGTCCAAAGCTTGTAAAGTCTCCTTCGATCGAAAGGGCCGTGGGCGCTTGGCAGTTTCAATCAGCTCCCTGGGACGGACGCACCAAATTCAACCAGGGTGCCCAGGTGCCCGGGACCAGGGGTTTGGATCCACCCAGACGCTCCGTTTCAACCCTTCCAACCGGTCCCAGGGATTGGTGTTGAAGGTCCGGAGCCGATTCGGTGTCCGGCCCCCGGACGAAGGGTCTAGGCTTTGCGTGCTGGGCTGCTCCATTCTCCGAACCGAAGCTCTTCCGCCCCACCCACCAACCGAATGGGCCCCACCGGCTCGTGGCACTTTAAGTAGTGCTTGATCTGGATCAACCTCAGTGACACGAGTTGCATTATGTTCCATTTCAAGCCATGCAAATTCCACTGTCTGCGGGGGGGAGGCCCAGACTCGAAGACCCCAGTCGTCGGAAGGAAGGAAACTGAAGGACGCAGGGATTCACCTGTGACCTGTGCAGTAGCTTCTCAATCTGATCCGGCCCTAGCCCAACAGCGGCCAGGTCCCTAAAATACGTCCATCGCCGATTGGAGTCTGGCATCAGCACGTTGCCATACAATTCAGCGAAGGCCACTGAAGTCCCAGTCCCGCTCCGGACTGGGTTATCTACACCTGCTCAACTGATCCTGGGTCAACCGATCTCCACCCCAGTCCTGCTCAACTGGTCAACCACTAGCTACTTCCCCAACCTTGGTTTCTTCATCAAGGGGCTGTTGCATTTCAAAGGTGCCATGTGGCTGATTGGCATGAAACATGCCCCTTTGGGTTGGGAAAGTCCCCGTTTTAGCAGAGCAAACGCTAACGCATCAAATGCCTCAAGGCAAGAACATGGCCATTTGCTACAAAAAAAGCAGACTTGATTGAAACGGTAGGAAAAACAATTACACAAAATCGGGCAAGACTCAAACAATCTCAAAAACATTCTGTCATTGTGCCCATCAAAAGTCTCTCCCATCCCCTGTAGTGTGCTGTACGAGGAAACTCTTGTTCGACCGGTCACGATGCGCTGCAGATCTCGTGCCACCATTTGATCTCGCGGAACGGAACTTGGCACCCAACGCTGGACCAAAAAAAGAACGCATGCCACCAAAGCAGCCACCCCAACACACTTGTTCGCCTTGGCAGTTCACTGTGCTTCTTGTTTTTTTTTGTTTTTCCGAGGCCCGTGGGTTTCGGGTTTTCCGAGAATGCAACATGCCTGCGAACAGGTCGCTGGATTTATATGGATCAGGGATCCAAGTACCTTCTCAGAAGGTGATTAGAGACACTGTTATGTAGGTTGGAGGGTCCAAGTACCTTCTGAGGTTCGGTGATTGTATCCCTAGGGATAGGAAAGTGGTTTCCCTGACAGCGATCCAACGCCACCAGCCACGAACGACCCCGCGGTGCTGCTCTCCCAGGTGCTGCTCCCTTCGTTCTTGCTTCAGCTCTGAAATGTCTCCAATCAGCGCGGCCAACCTGTGCGTTTCAGAACGCGTGTGTCGTCGCATGTTGTCAACACAGTGGCCCCGTGCCGACCTTTGCCGTTCATGTTCTCCGGATGAATCCACAGTATTCCGCATGTTTCCATCTCACCCTACACCGACCCGTCGTACCTCCTCAGTAATTAGGTATTTGAACCCTCTTGGCACCCACCACAGTCCCACCGAACCTCAGAAGGTACGACTGCAGGCCAAAACGGGAAAATGACTATGGTCATTCGTTCGACTCCCTGCGTCGTTTCAGCGAAGCACCTGCGACTCGATGGTGATATTCTTTTGCCAAACCGAGGAGCAAACTGCAGGACAGAAGAATGTGAAGTGAGGCCCAAATCAGCCCACCATCATTGTTGGTTCGGGAGACAGAGAAGTCACCATATCCTGCAGGAGGCAAAAGTGGGGAATGAAAGGGATGCTGGCATGCTGGACTTCTGCCTTTGGTAGGTCAACCTGATGTTTGGACTACGTATTCGGAACCGGTGCCCGCTGTGCTGACCTCATCCGTGCTGACCTCGGCAGCCCGATACCCTCTCATGCATATCACAAGCTGCATCTGATGCTTGGTTCACTCCCCAGTCATCAAAGAGATACGCAACCAAAACCATGGAACCCCCCCAGTTCACACTACACATCCTCGCTCTTCTCGTCATCTCCGTCTCTTTCTCCGCCCTCGTCAGGGCGCTCGGACTCCCTCCATCCAAACACCCGTCGCACGACCGGTCGGACGACCGCTCCTACGGTGGTGGCCGTGACCATGACGTACCACCAGGCGGTCCACAAGTCCCACCCCGGTTCGACCTGACCGCTGGCGGACGGTTTTGGCCGTCTGTGGGTTGGGAGCGTCCGTTTTGGCCGGCAGGCAGCGCCCGTGGCTTGGAGGGTGGTGACTTGTGGGGGAAGTGGTGGAAATGGGTGGATCAGCACCACAAAGCAGTAGTTGACAGTAATTGCAGTCTCATCCTTGCCCAATGCCATGCATGCATGCCAGGACGGCCGGCCCCCCCGCACCAGGCCCGGTGCGAACGGGTGCGGCCCCCGCAGGAAACCACACGTTCTGAGGTCTGGACAAAGACAAAAATGATGGCGGAGAGGAATTGAAAGAGCAGCAGAATACTCAAAGGACCTGAGAACTTCAGCTTCAGCTTAGACCCTTCCGACATCTTCCGACCCTTGCCAGGTGGTTTTTGGACACCCCCTTCATCACCTCTAAGAGACTATATTTATATAGGCACCTCAAAGAGAAGGGTGCTGGTCTTCGGAAGGATTCTTGTCCTGATTCTTGGGGATGAACATGATGAACCGGTGGTTTTGGAAGATCCGACACGTCCAACACCATCCAACCAACAGGCCAACCGGCCGTTCACCAGGGATCTCGTTATCCACCACGGTGGGGCCAGTAACCAGGAGGGCTGGGCTGGGCTGCAAGGGAGGGTCGAGTCGACTACTTGATCTGACGAAGGTGATGTGATGTGATTGATCCGAAGGTCGGAAGGTCCTGAAACTTCGGAAAGGGGCTATCAAATACAACAAAAAGACAACCAACTGGAAAGGCCCCAACAACAACAACAACAACACCTTCGGACAGGCCCCAACTTCCAAAAAAAAGACAACATGGTCAAACTATCAAACTGGACTTCGCCAGGGCTCCAATCCATAGGACCCTTCGAAGACTTCCACCCTGGAAGTCTTGAAAAAACACCAACGGATTAGGTGGTTTCTTTTGCGCCGGAAATACATGTGTCAGCGGTGTGGGCACATTTGTGATCCCAAACCATCCATAGGACGGGAATATTTATATAAATACATTGAACCCAACTGACCTCTGTTTTGATAGGAAAAGGCCATATTTTGAGTGGTTGGTGGTCCAAAATAGAGGTCATGCAGGTTCTAGGTACATTGACCCCAAGTCTGGCCCACCCGCCCCAACTGATCGGCCAACTATGCCAGTCCCATGGGTCGATCGGGTGAAGTTCCGCCAAAGGAACCAATGAGGCCCTTGGTGAAGTAGATGACCGGTCTCGCTGGCACCTGTGAATTCGGCGCTGGCTGGCTGAAGAGCGTGGTCATTTTGGCGAAAGCGTCGTCGATTTGGACAATTCAATTGACTCAAACCACCCCCATATGGCATGTATACATTGACCCCAGGTCTGGCCCACCCCGATGTAGGTCAATATGCCAGTCCCGTGGAGTGTCTGGGAAGCAGCCGTCGGTTCGCGCGAACCGGCGTGCCCGTGGAACGGACTGCAATGGTCCGGTCCGGCCCTGTTCGGTGGTCTCATACGTGCCAATGCAGTCAGAAAACACATGGCATGGGTATTTTCTGATTCGTTTATCTTTTGTTCAATCCCAAGATAGGTTTTACATGGTTTTACTTGGTATGTCAGATTCTTTTCTGTCATTAAGAGATAGTTTTATTTAGTAATTACTCTTTTTTTCTCAGTTTCAGTACACTTTTTGATTTTTCTGCTCATGTTTTTCTTTTCCTGGTTCTTTCAATCTGGCAATTGAGATTGTCAACACATATATAGATTGAGTGGTCTGGGCCTCCGATCCATGTGTGCCTGCGGACTGGGTTTCAAAGCTCAGATCATTATTCCACACCCAAGCTCCCCAGCAGAGGATCAACTGCTTCCACGGTTTTTTGGGAGATTCTTGTTCGAGCCCTTGAACATCCAAGTAATTAGACATCGCAGGGATCGAAATTCCCCCGCCTTGATCTTTTTCAGGACCTTGTTGCCTTCCTTGATCTCGATCTCTGTTGGCTTCCAGATCCGATCCAGCACTTCACGCATCTTATCGAAGAACTGAGCAGCAAAGTGACGCAGCTAAGTTCAAGGTAAAAGGCATTAAAAGGCCACACCTGAGGTCAAATGCAGCCCTCTGTGTTTATGTTGCATCCGGATTCACCCCTTTGGTGGAATCGGCAATCTTGGTGTCCTAAGGTTTTGCCCAGTTCATAAAGATTGTTCCTCTCCAACTCTCCAACTTGCGTGCACATAGGGCCGCAAAACAAGTTTCGGCCAATCGCAGGTCCTTTACTCAGATCCCCAAATTCTGGAGGAATCTCTTGCATGCACGTGCTTTGCTTGGATCAAACAAATTTTCCCTGTGCGCACGGGATCGCTGCTTCAAGCACTGCGCAGCGATCTCACATGCCGTATCGTACGCTGATATTGAACAAGTGTGGTGAGGGTGTGTGTTCACCCGAATCCAACCCACGCCGAGTGGCTGGTTCTATGACGAATCCAACTACTTCGCCAAGTTGTCCAAACACCACGATGATGCCAACCTTGGGGGCCCAGAAACTGGGCACCGGCTCTGGAAGCTTTCCAACATGTTGAGCTTCCAAGAAGTGCTTGATTGTGGTTGGTGATCTCGTTCAAAAGACAAGCACCAATTGCGTTGACACATTGAGATAGAAACATGCTATCCAATATAAACATCTACTATCATTTCATCATTTGTCCGGGGCGGATTGAAACTAAGCTTTAACATGCTTTAACCATAGCTGTATGACTCACCCACTCCCAACTCCCACTTGTTTATCTCACCCACTTCTTCATGCTCGCTTTTCGGCACGCTCTTGCGGAAACCGTGGAAGCTGCGACTCACCCTTTTAAGAACACCACCACACGTTCTCACCCCAACAAGTTGTTTTGACAACAAACACAGAGGAACACGATTATGTCTATTTCATGTTGCTTTTCTTCTATTTTCTGTAAAAATGCACAAACATACATCATGTATTGTATATAGACCGAACAATACCGAACAATAACAATGATTTCCTTTCGCCATGACATTCTCCTTTCTCAACGATCAGCTCCTGTGCTTCTCCCCAGGAATGATCACTATTTAGATATCTATTTAGACTGGCACACTCCAAAGCTATGGCTATAACCCAAAACAACGACCGGGCAGGTGGCATTCAATGCAAAACTCCATGCCCAGGTGCTAAAATGAAGCCAATGCCCAGCAACTGCGAATACCAAATCTGGCAGCGCCGCGGCGCCGCGCTTGTAAAATGTTCGTGCGGCCGGCGTGTTAACCAGCGCAGCGTGGAAAACCAGCGCTGTTCTAAACAGGTGACCCCGACAGTTCAGGGTTTCCCGTGTTGCATTAAGGTTTAATCAGGACCTGGAGTTCGTGACCGTGAGACCAAAACGGGGTCGGTAAGCAATGGAATTTCTGGAAAGGCTGCTTTGAAGGTCGTTCGGATGAACTCTTGTTTGTTGGCAGATGTTGCCGCTGATGTTGCCAGCCTATATACCACATTCAACGAAGTGAAGTTCTTGAAATCCTAGACTGTGCTTTGGGATTGCTAGTAGAAGGACTTGCAACAGAAGTAGCAAAGAACGTTCTCCAGCTGAACACACAATAATATGTCAGGACTGACCCCCACACACATGGGCCGAGAAAACGATGAACAGGTCAACATCACAACAGCAACTTCATGAAGCTCCTGTCCTTCGAAGCTTCAATCCTACACTTGAAACCTGTAGGCCCCACCAAAAGGAGTCATCACCCAAAACCAAAGTCCATCTCCAACCCCCCAAACATACCATGCACCCATTATCGCCCCCAAACCAGAGCTGAACAAACACATCCGAGCTTTCGAACGCGCCAGTTCGCGAACCCCGCTGCGCGTCGCGAACGTTTCTCCAACTGGGCCAGGTGACGGTGGGTGCCAAATCCCCATAACCCACCTTGGATTTGCTGTCCAGGAAGCCGAGACACAAATAAAAACATCATCCCCAGAAGTAAGGGGATTTACAGTACCCAGTTCGGGAGAACAAAGCAAATCACCCGAAAGATTCGATCCAGACCAGGCCACGGTGGACATGGTGACCATTGAGAAGTAGATCGCCTCGAACCGAACCGGGTCCCGAACGATCCCGAACGGTTCTTTCTGGTGAAGGCGGTCTGCATGTTTAGCCTAGAAACTTGGCCCCCCAGTGCTGGTTAAGTAGCTGAAGTGAAGATGAAGGGGAGGGGAGGCTGGTGCTTCTTGCTTTGTAGATCTTTGTAGCATGTTGTAGCGACAGTGACTTAGAACAGCCTTCTTCCAAGAGGGCATTTTCCATTAAGTTAACATTTGGAACATGAAGGCTTAAAGTCTTAAAGCTAGCAGCCTGGACAGGTCAATCAAAGCCTCCATGCACACCACACCCGCGAAACGAATAATACACAGCTTGTCTATAGACTATTGAGTGTGGGCTGGTCACTTGGACCTTGAATATCTGCTTCAAATCGGATCGAAGCCGCAAGGAACTGCTGGGCCGGTCACCACTGTACCTACACTTCAGTACCCGTGTTCCATCCACATAAGGCATACACAGCTCGTCCAAGTTTAAAAGCGGACACGCGCGTGTTGGGGGAGGCTGGTCACTCAGTTCCATCATCGCCCGTCACCAGGTATTCTCTTCAATTCCGATCAGCAAGTTGGCCCGTCCTCAACAGCAGTCCAGCCCTCCACATTGGTGAAAAAAAAGGATCGCGAACAGCTGGTAGAGAAGCCTTAGAAGGGATGAATCTCAAAACGACTAATTCCAAAAGCAGCTACCAAGAAGGACCATCAACATGGTCATACCATGCCATACCCTAGAAGTCCAGTTCGACCCTACTTTTCCCAACTTCATGAAGGACATTTCAGCATCGCACTCGTCCAGTCTTTCGATCGTCCTGAACAAAGGCCCCCAAATCCGGAGCTTCGACCCTCCAAACGTCGTCGCGGAACCGCACGCGGCTCCCCGTGCCGCACACCGCCCCGTGTCCGTTCCGCTACCGATCCGATTCTGCGTGATCGCACACCGAAACCGGTGGTGGCCCGTTTCCGCGGAAACGGGAGCCGGTCGGTCTTCGGCCAACGGATCGGTCGTCCGCGAAGACTCGTTGCCAACCTCTGCAGTGAAACGTGAAACTCCCTTGGTTCACCAGCTCCTGCAGCCGCTGGGAGCGAAAAGTCCGTACTTGAACCTCTCTCCCCAAAGCCATCGTTACTATAAGGATTACTAAGGGCATCGCGATTAGTAACAAGGACGCTACTATAGTAGCTCCTGGCATCGCTACTAGGAACAAGAAGCTACTAGTAACAAGGGTATTTCTACTAGGAACCAAGCCATCACCCAGTAGGCCAGGCCCAAAACGAAGCCTCCAAAGCTAAACCCACACCGACCGACCGCTTCTGCGCTTCCTTTGCCTCTCTGCTGCGCGCGCGCGTGGCTTCGGCGCCCAAGGCGCAAGGTGATGAGCGCCAAAAGGATCGCTCGCACCACGGCGGCTTCGCTGAGACGTCTCAAGTGCCCATGGAGACGTCCCGTCAGCGATCGAAATAAGGCCAGGATCATGGGGCCCACTGGGCGGGAGCCGTCTCCGAGGTGGCCCGCTTCGCCCGGTTCGCCAAGGTGACGTACTTTTTTGGGAGGTGTGTGTGTGTGTGTGTTTTTTAAGCTAGCTATTATATAGTTATACCCAATGGCTTCAAGAACATTTGAATGACTTAGATCGATCTACTTCCTGAGCATGGTGCTTTTGAGGGAGGCATTGCTGCGAGTTCTGATCTCTTGTTCTATTCTTTTCAGCTCTAGTGGATCGCTGGCGTTCCTCCCCCTACACCTCCAGTCGTACCTCCTCAGTAGGTATGACGGGACCCTCCTGTCACCCACCCCAGTCCCACCTTCTCAGAAGGTACGACTGGAGGCCTAGGGTCCGTTTAATATGCCAACAGCTGGCTCCCAAACATGTGGTTTTGATCGGATCGTTGTGCCACTAAAAGCTGCAAAGGTCAGCTCAACGAGCCGAGTTGGCCGCAGCAAGTCACAGAGCAGTGGACCTCGCAATTTACAAAACAGTGGCTGCTTCCACAGCCGCATCTGAATGACTCAAGGACTCTCTATTTGCAAGAAATGAACTTTGCAAAGCACTGGGATCCACATGCTCCCCAGGGTGGTCCACTTGCCACCCCAACGTCTATACATCAACCGCCACGTCTTCTCTGGAAGGCTCGCTTCACGATCCAGGATCTGTGACTGTTCAGCACTGTCACACCAACCAATCCAATAGATAATATGTATATAGATTGCAATTAATGATGTTATACACCCCAGAGCTCTAACCATATCCTCAGGTTCGGTGGTTAAACCCCCCCTGGCACCCACCCCAAGCACCGAACCGAAACGGAGGTGGGTGCTTGGAGCCCTATATAGGGCGGGACCATCAACGAAAAGCCACTTCGTCCCTCCTCCACATCTTCCAGTTCGTCCCCAAGAGGTCACGTCACTGTCAGCCCCGTCTCCGCTGTCACCCCTTTGGCCCGTCGTGCTTTGCTTCGTCTGCGACTGAACATCGGACCTGAACCAGGAGCAGATGGGATAGGGATCTATAGGGTAGGGGTAGGTGCCTTGCTACTACGAACGCTTCTGGTTACCAGTCATGCTATATAGCTATAGCTACTTAGCCTCCACGGTGACCCCGGACCGGACCGCCGACGGGACAACAGCGCCTCGACGGTGAGGTCCGTGTCGATGAGCGCCATCTCCGTCTCCGGTTCCAATTCTCGAACCTCAGCGCCGCGAAGCGCCGGCTTCGCGGGAGCCGACCAGGTCCGGGGAGGTGAGCGGCTGAAGGTGGGGTTTCGGTGAATCGAAACGGGTGGTGAAAAATGGGGAGCCTTTTTGGTGGCCAGCAGCGAAAGAAGGGCACCATCATTGGGAAGGAGAGGTAAACCCTGGAAGTCTAAGGGCGATACTGTTCTTTGTGAAGTATAAAGGTATAGTCGGTATAGTATATAGACCATTTAACATCCAGGGCACGGTGAAGTCGTTTTGAGCCACTTCGAGTGAACCCTCGTTCACGGCTGTCGCCTCGGAAGTCCTTAGTCAGTCCCTTAGTCCTTAGCCCTTAGACCTGGATCTTCCAACGACGTTTACATGCAACATTTCGGACCAAAGGCCAATATGCTTTACCATCATTTACCATCTGTCTGGGGTCAGAACCCTCAACCGCCGACATTGCTGGACTGACTGAATCCACAAAAAGCATGGAAACCATGATCTCCGCTCAGCCACAAAATCCGTTTGTTTCGCATGGACAGTGTCCACTCTCGCCTTTTTTCCGCACTCCCTGCTTTTTCCGAAGCGTCTCTTTGCTGCGTCGGAACCGAAGCGTCTCTTTGTCGCATCTCTTCTCTCCGCTGGGGACCCGCCCGGGTGGGTCTTCTCGCTTGACCACGGGGGCCACGGCGTCGCTTCGTCGCCGCTCAACCGAGCGCGGAAAAGGCGGAGAGGCCGTCGCCTCTAAGGAGAGGGAGCCGTCTGCACCTGAGGACCCCGGCGTTTCGGTAGATCCAACTGTGAAGCGGTTGAACCAAAGAGGAGGCTGGTCGCCCAGTTAATTTAATGGGTCTGTGTATGCCATGTTTTACTTAAAGATATCCTTTGACAGGAACCATCAGGAACCAGGTTCCTGAATGGTCTTAGAAGATCTTGGCCAAGATCCTAGAGCCCAACGCTCGGTGCCTCCGTTCAGGGTCCCTTCCAAGCCACCATCCGAGACCTAAATCCCTCGAACCTGAGGTTCGGTACGACTGGACCCGACGTTTTGGCACCGTCTCATAACAGTGTTGAACACACATCACCTATAACCTGAGGTGCGGTACGACTGGATCCCTATTTTGGGGGGAATAGGGGGAGAATCGAAGCCAGACTTCCAGTGCCCAGACTTCTGCCAGGAGTCCGAGGCCCACTTCCTACCCCTCCCAGGATTGGCCGGATTCATCTGGCACCCCAAACGAACCTCGGTTCCTTGGGCCTGAACCCAGTCCCGTCACCGGTGGCGGTACCGCGCCGGTTCTCCAACGTCGGCCCGGTTGGACCCGCCTCTTTCAAGGCTTCAGTGACCCGGGTCCATGCCTCAGAGGCCTGAGGGGCATGGGGTATGGGGGGCAGCTCTGATACAACATGCACTGGGAGGAGGAGGAGGAAGCGGTAAGCCAAAGGAATTGGGAATCAAAGGATGTTGAACTCAAGTTTGTGGAGATGCTTCATATAGTTCCATAGATCTGGGTCTTGTTTCAGGACATCAACTATTTCAGCTCCAGAGAATTCTGAAGTAGAGATCACACAAGCGGGGCAAAGTAAAGCAGCTCATGTTTTCCTGTAGCAAGTGATGCATGGAAAACACGCAATCAACAGCACACAGCGAAACAGCACACCGAACTGTTGACCGCATCACAGCGCCTTATTCGCAATGCTGAGCACCTGACACGAAACTCGACGAACACCACGAACACAAGAGGACGTGGGGGCTACAGGAAGAACTGCCTGTTTGTACAGATCTAGTCTTCCAACTAAACCATTTTCCGCAGAGAAAGAGTCGGAGGGTGTCCTCTTCAGCCAGCTTCGCTTCGCTCAGCTCCGGAAATCACCGGACCGCAACGGCGGAAACGGAGCAGTCTGAACGCCTCAGGTCTTGATTGGTGCCAGCTCGGCTCGTTGACGCATCAAGGATCAACGCATCAAATGTCGGAATTGTACACGTTCAATTCGCAACACCGCCCCCCCCCAAAAAAAGACGAGATGCCTCAAATCCCAATGTCTTTCTGGTATTGCATAGATTCAATCGGCGCTTCGGCAGGAAGAAAAGGACAAAACACACTGCACCAACAGATCCCAAGGGGTGCAACAGGGCGTGTTTTCTATTATCAACTCACTTATGGGTCTAAAAACAACCCCTTTAGAACTCGATGGAAAAAACAATTAAAATGACATCCTCAGCCGCCGCGACGTAATTGCTCCGGTCTTTACCCGCCTGGTCGTAGCGTTCCTTTGCTTGATCGAGATGGTTCTGCGGAGA